TAAACCTATTTCGTTCCATTCCTCCCTAAGTGCATCTTTTAATTGCTCCTTTGTCAGAATAAGGTGTTTACGGATCCTTCTTTCTAACTCATTTCATATGTGTTCAATCGGATTTAAATCCGGCGATTGAGGAGGTTTTGGCAATGTATGGGGTGTATTAAAAACGATCCATTGGCGGACAATATAAGCAGTATGCTTGGGATCATGATCTTGTTGGAAATAGTAGTTTTCCCCAAGATTTAATTTTTCCACACTTTTTTTTCAGTTTTGTTTCAAAATATTTAAATATACAAATTTATCCATAATACCGTCTATAAAAACTAGTTCTCCAAGGCCGGAGGAACTCATACAGCCCCATACTAATACACTACCACCCTCGTGTTTAACAGTTGAGACTATGTTATGCGAATCCAACTCGGTATTACGCTTTCGCCATATTCTTATTTGACCATCAGATTTAAAAATATTAAATTTACTTTCGTCAGAGAAGAGTATTCTATCCCAAAATTCTAAATTTTTGTGTACATACATCTCTGCAAACTCTAATCTGTTTTTTCGATTAATTTTGCTGATCAATGGTTTTCTTCTAGCCACTCTTGAATTGTACTCGGCACTTTTAAAAACTCTCCGGATAGTTATAGGATGACATCTACCTTATTTTCACTTTTCATTCGTGCCGCTATTTCTATAGAGGCAACTTTAGGATTTTTTTTTACAATCTTGGTAATTTTTCGTTTATCTCGTTCTGATAATTTCTGTGGACGACCACTTCGCGTAAGATTTTTTACATTTTGTTCGTCAGGAAACCGTTTAATGATATTTCTTACGGTGAAACAACTTGTATTTACTATTTTAGCTATCGCAGAATATGAATTTCCATCTTTCGATAATTTTAATATAATTTTTCTCTCTGAAATTGTTGTTTCTCGTGTTTTCCGATACATTGTTGTGTTATTCACTTTATTACAGGCAAACTTAGTAAGAAATAACAAATGAATATCAAATTGAATCTTGGGACTTCCCTGGATAGAACAGTCATGCCAATATTATAAATATTTACATAAGTGTTGCATAGAAATATTAAATTTACAAGTGTGCCAACACACCGTCATTAAAGCAAATGGCAAAACAACAAAATACTAGAATTAATATGACTTAACGCAATATTTACTCAAATTTTACTATTAAAAACAATGTTATGACATCGATGTGAACGACATAACCTACAAAGTGTAGGTGAACATCGTATAGCTATACCTCGCTTTTGTACCCAAATACAGTGAAAACTCGATAAATGTCGCTACTCCGGGTCCGGTCAGCAACACTTACGGAATAGGAGAATCGTCTTTCGAATTTGATTGTAGTTTGCCGACGCTTCGAACGTAGAAAGAGTCAGTAGCTAAAGAAGAAAGAGGGACTGAAACTCGGATTTATCGCCCCAGTTTAAATATCCGCGTCAGTGTGACCACACTACTGCACAGAAGAAAGTTTTTTATTTTTTACTTTTTGTTAATAAAAATTTCACTATCATGTTGGAGAGATTTCTCTGATTAAAATGAGGCTAAACACGATATAAATCGGTCAATATTTGGTAGCATAATATTGAATTAAATATTGTACTTGCGAGTCTTTCTCTCTTTATTTATCCTTCTTGTGCTGTCCTTTTCTATGTTCGGAAATATCAAAGAACGACGCATCGAGGTGCTGGCTACATTTATCGAACGGGAGGTAGCTATTTTCAAACGGAACAGTTCCACCGTTTCGTAAGTGATCAAAAACTGCAACACTTATGAAATAGGGGGTTTCGTTAGCTACCACTGTTCGATAAATGTACCAATCCACTGACCTTGCGAAGATACGAGTACACAACATTTAATTCAATATTATGGTAACAAATATTGGCCGATTTATATCGTGTTTAGTCTCATTTTAATTAGAAAAATCTTCCCCACATGATAGTAAAATTTTTATTAAAAAAAAGTAAAAAATAAAAAACATTCTTCTTGTACAGTAGTGTGATCACGCTGACAGGGACATTTAAACTAAGTTGACGAAGGCAATAAAGATTTTTAAAGAAAGCCGCTACGTCTCCGGTTACACTTCGCCTCACTGGTTCAAGGGGGATCCCCCTAGTGGTGGGGATAAAAATGTATCATTTATGGAACAGCTCTTGAGGATATTTATCGAGTTTTCACTGTACCTCCATTTGTAATTTCTTCTTCACATAATTAACGTTCGTAAGTTTGGTATATACAATTAAGGTGTATTATTATTGTTAATATTATAATCTATCTAACTGGTGGGCAGCTCACGTACGATCTCTGCATACTAGGGGTGTCACTCAAAATTTTCAATTTAAACAAATTTGGGTAATTTAATTGTCAAAATAACTGTAGAAGAATACTATTTTCGAACATTTTGAATATTCAACATTGCTCAACATCGCGATTTGCTCGATATAGCTATACAATATAGTAACAGAAAATAATCAATTGTAGAAGAAGTAACCTAAAAATACAAAGACAAAAAGATAAACTTAAGTCAACTGAAGTAAATACAAAAATAAAAATTCTGTTTCATTATTAAGAAAAAACATAAAGAAATAAATTAAAGATATTAACGAAAGAGAAGGTTAAATAAAATAAAGTGAATATAGATTAAACAGTTTTATTTTTTATTATGTATAATTCCACTACTTTGCCATTCTTTGAATTTACTATTTTCTATTTTTATTTACTATTTTAGCTATTGTAGAATATGAATTTCCCTCTTTCGATAATTTTAATATAATTTTTCTCTCTGAAATTGTTGTTTCTCGTGTTTTCCGATACATTGTTGTGTTATTCACTTTATTATAGGCAAACTTAGTAAGAAATAACAAATGAATATCAAAATGAACCTCGGGACTTCCCTGGATACAACAGTCATGCCAATATTATAAATATTTACATAAGTGTTTCATAGAAATGTTAAATTTACAAGTGTGCCAATACTTTTGTTTCGTCGAAAACTGTCCTCTGTGTATTTGTTACTATTTTTCATTATTACAAGTCTACCTAACCGCTTTATTTTGCGAGATACTTAAAGTTCAAACCTCAAACTTATATTTTACACCAAAAATAAAGAAGACATTGTGCTTTATTCACAGCTACATAACATTTTATTTCAAAATACGCTCTGTGCCAATACTTTTGTTCGGCACTGTATGTAGTTCGCTGTTGATCTAAAGTCTTCGTAAAAATCTGTTTTCAACGGATGGGCGGTTAAGATGAGATTCTAGGAAATTCCACAATATTTTTGCTCCCGTAACCGCGAGTTTATGTCTAGTATATATGGTATAAAAGTTTTTAGTTTGCATTAGTGACTGCCACACCGGTACGCGGTGCGGCATCGCTTTGAAGCTTGGTCGACGGGTTTTCAATTCCCCAGCTGCCGGCTGCTGTGTCGGTGGGTCGCTCGACCTGGAAAAACATAAACAGTGGTGGGGATGATTCAGTTTTTTTAATCGCGTACTAAAATCCTATCTTTGATCGAAGAATTGCCATATTTCGCCGCCGCGCGATTTTTTTGTCGAGAAGCAATCGAGTGTCGCTCTTACTGTTTTGTCGGGCCGAGCAAGTATGCACGCTCCCATATTGGTCCACGCCTTTCACCGCATGATTTCCAAAGTAGGGTGCCTCTAGCCATAAGGGGGGGACGAAAAAAATTTTTAACGTAGTGGAATCAGCACCTTTTCTTGGTCTTAATATTCAAAGAAAGGCAAAGCAGTGGAACGTTCTTCTGTATATTCAAATTGTGGGATTATATATAATGAAAAATAAAACTGTTTAATCTATATTCACTTTAATTTACTTCTTTATGTTTCTTCTTAATAATGAAACAGAATTTTTATTTTTGTATTTACTTCAGTTGACTTAAGTTTATCTTTTTGTATTTGTATTTTTAGGTTACTTCTTCTAGAATTGATTATCTTCTGTTACTATATTGTATAGCTATATCGAGTAAATCGCGATGTTGAGCAATGTAGAATATTCAAAATGTTCGAAAATAGTATTCTTCTACAGTTACTTTGACAATTAAATTACCCAAATTTGTTTAAATTGAAAATTTTGAGTGACACCCCTAGTATGCAGAGATCGTACGTGAGCTGCCCACCAGTTAGATAGATTATAATATTAACAATAATAATACACCTTAATTGTATATACCAAACTTACAAACGTTAATTATGTGAAGAAGAAATTACAAATGGAGGTATTTGGGTACAAAAGCGAGGTATAGCTATACGATGTTCACCTAAACTTTGTAGGTTATGTCGTTCACATCGATGTCATAACATTGTTTTTAATAGTAAAATTTGAGTAAATTTTGCGTTAAGTCATATTAATTCTAGTATTTTGTTGTTTTGCCATTTGCTTTAATGACTGTGTGTTGGCACACTTGTAAATTTAATATTTCTATGAAACACTTATGTAAATATTTATAATATTGGCATGACTGTTCTATCCAGGGAAGTCCCAAGATTCAATTTGATATTCATTTGTTATTTCTTACTAAGTTTGCCTGTAATAAAGTGAATAACACAACAATGTATCGGAAAACACGAGAAACAACAATTTCAGAGAGAAAAATTATATTAAAATTATCGAAAGAGGGAAATTCATATTCTACGATAGCTAAAGTAGTAAATAGAAGTCGTTTCGCCGTAAGAAATATCGTTAAACGGTTTCCTGACGAACAAAATGTAAAAAATCTTCCGCGAAGTGGTCGTCCACAGAAATTATCAGAACGAGATAAACGAAAAATTACCAAGATTGGAAAAAAAATTCTAAAGTTGCCTCTACAGAAATAGCGGCACAAATGAAAAGTGAAAATAAGGTAGATGTCATCCTATAACTATCCGGAGAGTTCTTAAAAGTGCCGGGTACAATTCAAGAGTGGCTAGAAGAAAACCATTGGTCAGCAAAATTAATCGAAAAAACAGATTAGAGTTTGCAGAGATGTATGTACACAAAAATTTAGAATTTTGGGATAGAATACTCTTCTCTGACGAAAGTAAATTTAATATTTTCAAATCTGATGGTCAAATAAGAATATGGCGAAAGCGTAATACCGAGTTGGATTCACATAACATAGTTTCAACTGTTAAACACGGGGGTGGTAGTGTATTAGTATGGGGTTGTATGAGTTCCTCCGGACTTGGAGAACTAGTTTTTATAGACGGTATTATGGATAAATTTGTATATTTAAATATTTTGAAACAAAACTGAAAAAAAAGTGTGGAAAAATTAAATCTTGGGGAAAACTACTATTTCCAACAAGATCATGATCCCAAGCATACTGCTTATATTGTCCGCCAATGGATCGTTTTTAATACACCCCATACATTGCCAACCCCTCCTCAATCGCCGGATTTAATTCCGATTGAATACATATGGAATGAGTTAGAAAGAAGGATCCGAAAACACCTTATTCGGACAAAGGACCAATTAAAAGATGCACTTATGAAGGAATGGAACGAAATAGGTTTAGAAGTAACACAAAATTTAGTACATTCGATGCCTAATCGGTTACAAAGTGTAATAAGACAAAAAGGATTACAAACAAAATATTAAATTGAATATTGTATTATGAAATAGTAAGTGTGCCAATACTTTTGTTTCGTCGAAAACTGCCCTGTATGTGTTTGTTATTATTTTTTATTATTACAGGCCTACTTAATCGCTTTGTTTCGCGAGATACTTAAAGTTCAAACCTCAAACTTATATTTTATACCAAAAATAAGGAAGATATTATGCTTTGTTCACAGTTACATAACATTTTATTTGAAAATACGCTCTGTGCCAATACTTTTATCCGCCACTGTACATTCGTTGTCTAATAAAATTTGGCGAACTCTGGCATCGTGTGACGAAAAGTGGGTAGTGTATGCTTAGGCTAAGTTCGCGTTGAAGGGCTCGTAACCTCAGCCCGTAACGAGGCCATCGACATCGAGGAGGTTGAAACTCATCGGCCGGTCGGAACGGAGCGCGATCGACGCTTGGAAACGTATCTTTGGCACGGAGGACGGCGCGTTTGAGATCTTCTGCGCACGCTTCTTCTTCTTCTTCTTCTTCTTCTACGGGCCCGCTTGTCGGCCTCTTTAGCGGCGCGGCGTGCTCGGCTCCGTTCCGCCGCCAGGAGATATGCGACTCTCGATCGTGGCCGACTCCATCGATTGAGCTGTCGACGAGGATAGATGTCGGACGGACTAGAGCGAGGTTGCTCGTCGGAGATTTAGTAACGCTTTGCTGTCGGAGAGGGCTGCGAACCAGCTAGCAAATGTATCCATATTGACGCCTGGCAGCTTCTGAATATTTATCGCGCGCTTTCGGTGAATTTGACGCTGCTTTGCCACCGAGGGGTTCAAACGATAGTATCCCAGAGTGTACCGTGAGGATTGTCAAAGCGTAACCGGACGGCGTTCGAACTCTGTGCGGGGCAAATCAATGGAACTGTTGCTGGAACAGGGGCAGGACATATTAAATAGGAGCTTTCCGACCCTCCAAACGCAGATGAGTCAATTCTACAGCTTTTAGTTAGTTTTTTTCGATATTGACTGGAATATTTCATTCCAATCCTGTTTTTGAAATCATCGACGAAACCGAAACTTTGTTAGTAGCGCTTCCACAATTTGTCTTCAAGAGTCCTGACTAGATTTATTTTCTTTAACATCTAATCTTGAGCATTAATTTCTTTAGCTCTTCTGTAGTTCTCTTTTCTCTTTTACGAGGCAACGTACTTCTAATTTTTGCATTATACGTATAGAAAGTTGTGTTTTAATGTTTATTCGTAAGATATCCTTCTCTTTTCTATTAAAAATTTTTTAATTTTCATCGGATGGAAGATAAAACGCCCTTGAAAACGAATTTTGTTCCAAGTCGATACCGTAGCTAGTTCTGGAGGAAACAAGTATTTAAGAAAAAGTGCTAGTAATTACGCAAACATCCTGTATTTAAATTAATTTTCAATTAAATAGACAATTTATGGTCCAGTTTTATCGTACACAAGTCGTATGATCAATAGGAAGTGCTGAAACTACTTTGGGTATGTAGCGTCAAAGTAAATGTGAAAATAAACATAGAAGAAAATATAAATAATAATAGTTGATATGCTCGTCAGATAGGGGATGAAATGCCCTTTAAAATGAGCGTTCGTACAAGTCGATAGCATAATTAGTTCCGGAGATACAGCGATTTTAGTTACAAGTCGATGCGGTGGCTAGGTTTGTTTACATTTCGTTGTTGAACTCGTGAGTTCATTGATCTCGCGCGGAGTAGGTCAGCGCCACGCACGTGCGACAAGGAGGTCCGAAGCGTCAGGCGGAGACAGAGATAGTTGAATCAAGAAAATTACCTTTTACATAAATTACGATATCTCGAAAACGGAATGTCGGATCGACAAAAACCAAAAACCACTTTAAAGGGGAAGGTTTACCGCTTCCAAAGATGGCTCAGTTATGCAGAAAACATGAGTAGTTTCGAAACTGCACGCGTCTAAAGTTTAACTATTTTTAATACGCGTTGTTAGGCTGTTCTGAGACAGTGGAAACTGAAGATTCTCTCCTTTAATCTTTAATCTTGTACATATATTTCCTATTTACATCGGATGCTAACCAGAATTTGGTATCAAATTTTGTCCTGTTTTTTACAAAAAAATATAAATCGTTCAATCGGTCAGATGACCGTGGTAGGCAAGAAAGACTACATATTTTTCTCAGAATATAAACAATAAGAATAGAAGTGAATATGGTGAAATTCATTGCATGTATACTATAAGAAAAGTCGTGAAGTTAAATGGCGCTAAAATAATATTGTGTGTTAGAAATTCTAAACGAAATTTAAAAAACGGTCATTTGACTCGAATAAACAGTCTGATCAGATGTGTTTAAATGACGGTTTATGGCATAAAGAGCAACAACAATGATATTCTATTAATACCATTAGAATATTATGAAGATGTAGTATGTATTAAGTATGTCTATACTTATTGAAGCAATTATCAAGGTTAAAGGTTTATGAACGAAATATTAAGTTTACCAAAATCTGAAATGTTTACTAAAAATTAGTTAGATTATAGATAATGCTAAGTATTTTGTCTTTTTTGTATTCTAGTATGCAAATATTGAATACGAAATTATTTTCGTTAAAATGTCGTACGTGTGTTCAGTTTTGCTGTAGTTTAAGAAAATTGCATGATTTCTTGTTTTAGAATTTGCAGTGAAAAATTACACGTGCGCCGGTTTGAACAAATTTTTGGAAATAATTAATATTTTTATAAGAAATTTTTACAAGAAATGTATTTTCAAAAACATTCAACATTTCTTAGAAATAGTTTGATAGTTACTCTCAAAAAATTCTTGAAAATTGCTTCTATTTTCAGCCATCACATTGGCGCCCCTCCCTAACACGTTCACTGCCAGATTAATCAAAACCGGATAACATTCTGCAAAAGTAAAATTTTGATTTTAGACCAATATAAACTATATAACCTAAAATTTGTTTTGGTACTTATTTTCGTAACATTGTTAAAATTCACAAATTCTATCCCCTTCAACGTCCTAAAAGTAAAATTTTGATTTTAGACCAATGTACACTATATAACCTAAAATTTGTTTTGGTACTTATTTTCGTAACCTTGTTAAAATTCACAAAATCTATCCCCCTCAACGTCCTAAAAGTAAAATTTTGATTTTAGACCAATGTAAACTATATAACCTAAAATTTGTTTTGGTACTTATTTTCGTAACCTTGTTAAAATTCATAAATTCTATCCCCCTATTTCCCTCAACGTCTTAACTTGAAAATGAATTTTTCTAGTATAATAATGGTAAATCCTGACACCCATATATGGGTGACGTGATAGTCAAAGTGTTAAGGAGGTTAAGTCCCCGGTCACAGGTCGATTGGGACCGCGTCCCGCCGAATGGTGAATCGGAGAAAGCGCGACGTCTCCTCGTTAGCCGCTCCTCTTTGTTCCCCGGGGCGGTGCATCCCCGACGTCTCGAGCCTAGCGACCTCTTTTTTTCCAGAAGGTCGATTCGTTTCGCGGGTGCTCCGGTGGCCGGTGGTGCGTGGCATTCCATCGAATGAGGCACCGGTGTGCCTCGGTACTCACGGGTGGACGCGAAAACAAGTTAAAAATAGCCAGCGAGTGGATCGCGGTCGGCACCTTTGAGGCCGCGGTCTCGGAACCCGCAACAGTCGTTGATCGTTCGCATCGTGTTTCGTCGTCCGGATGTTGATGATGATGGTGAGAGACCGTCTCGTTACCATTACGAGGGCCGCTCACGCAGGCGGCTAACACGCACCGCAAACCTCGCATTACCATAACCGCGTTTGCGCACAGAAACCGTCGCCGCTTCTTCGGGGGTTTCCACCGGTCGGCCAACGCCGATGACGACGACGCGTTCTTGGATGTGGCGTGCTTTCGAGCTTACCGCGGCTTAACGATCTTACGCCGCAACTCTCGACAAACGCTTTTACCCGCCAGGGACCTGTTAGCTAGCTCTACGCAGAGATTGACTGCAATTGTCAGCCGTCCTTAGATCTTCGTCGTCGTTGCCGAACGCGGTCCCAAGAGAAAGCTTTAATGTCATTTACTTGCGTTACTATTGAGCCGTTGCGATTTTCAGGTTCCGAAACGCGGACGCGTATTTAATTAACCCTCGATTGGGGGGAAAGGTTTTGGTATCCCCATTGCATTGGAACTTGATTTTCCCGGGTCGTGGACCTGGTTCTCATATTATAGACTTAACTGGAATGAAAAGACCCCAGATAAAATGTTCTTGTATGCCATTTGTACTGTTCACTGCTGGTAAGTTCGCAGTCGGGACGATGCAAGGGTCAGGAGAATAGGCTGCTCGTTTCACCTATTCCCCACTATAAGCGATTTCACCTATTTATGTAACGAAAATGCGTGTGATGCTATTCTATGTTTGTGTTCGAATGACTGACTTACTTTGTTTCGACCAATTGTATCCTTATTCTTTGTAAACAATACTTGAAGTCAAGATGAGACGTTTCTCATGGAAACTCGTGATATGGAAAGTATTGAGAAGACTGATAATCCTGTGACGTGGCTCCTGGTGAGGAGCAGCCTGGAGGTAGTTTCCCTGCTTTTGTGATCCCTGCGTCTGAGCTTCATAACGCGAAGCAACAACTCACTGAACGTCGATTGTGGGATCTAGTCATTAGATGAATTGCTAGAATAATATAGTCAAGATGAGACGTTTCAGTATCCATTCTCGGTGATATGGAAAGCATTGAGAAGACTGATAATCCTGGGACGTGGCTCCTGGTGAGGAGCAGCCTGGAGGTAGCTACCCTGCTTTTGTGATCCCTGCGTCTGAGCTTCATAACGCGAAGCAACAACTCACTGAACGTCGATTGTCGGATCTAGTCATTAGATGAATTGCTAGAATAATACAGTCAAGATGAGACGTTTTAGTATCCATTCTCGGTGATATGGAAAGTATTGAGAAGACTGATCATTCTGAGACGTGGCTCCTGGTGAGGAGCAGCCTGGAGGTAGCTACCCT